ATCGTGCTAGCTTAGAACAATTCAACAGTATCCGAGGCTTCTTTACAATCAACCTAGAATACTGGGGGGCATTGCTCTCGAATGCCAATTTTGATGCAAGGAATTACTTCATGGCAGCATGGTCTCGATAGAAAAAATTTGTAAGGGCCAAATAGTCAAACGAACCGTGCCCGCATAGTTTGCTCGAGCCATGGCACAGAACATGTACGCATGTATAATCATTTATAAAGAGAAGTATTTTTCTTTACCGATATCTCATGCCTTAGAAATTTTTTTCTACTTTACAATTTCATACTCTCGATCATTTATGTAAACAGGCTTAAGGGTCGACCATAACCAGAGTTCGGATAATTACCCCCACGTTCGGGGATTGCCGTCCGAAAAATAAACGAGATCGATTTATTAAAACTTCGAGATCATAAAACCTTTTAGAAAATCCTCGATTTTTATAGGCCACGGCCACCTCACTCGGGGACTGACACTTTGGGCAAGCTCGAAGTAAAACGGAAAAATAAGCCCAAGGGGCAAATCCCAAACTAAAGAGGCTACGACCGAATTAACACGGGTCGGAGACGTCCGAATTTCATAACAAAACAGGTCTTCGAATTCTTTCATAAACCGGTTAAAAAGGCTACCCCCCGGGCAAAATCATAAAAGGCTTCGATAATATCAAGCCTCGAAAATTCTAATGAGTACAAAATTGTTCGAACTTTAGAACAATTCCTTATTTCATGCTAAGGCATTACAAGTTTTGCAAATACAAATGATAAAAAACTTTTTCAAGCCGAAAAGATGAGAAAGCCATAAACAATCTTTTTACAAAAGCCTAAGGACTGTTTTTTGCTTTGAGTTCAAGAGACCATCCTCGCTCAAATAAAAAACCTAAGGGTTACTTTACTTCGAGTTCGAGCAAACACTCACTCGATCGTAAAGCCTAAGGGCTATACTAGTTCGATTTCAATCAAATTGTCTAAACTNCCATTTAGTTTTTGTGGGCAAAGAAGAATGGAGATTGAAGTATTTGGTGTTTTAGGAAGAACAAACAAAGGAACTCAAAAATCTGAAGATAGGAAGCTTTGGAGAAGGCAAAGAACTATAGAGATTGGAATGAAAAAGATTTGAAAGTAAAGTTTGAAATAATGAAGAATGAGGCTATTTATCGATTTCACAACGACGGTTCAAAACTGGTAATGGCCGACCGTCGACTGACGCGCATTAAATACCCGGAAGACTATACCGACGAGACGTTTCAGTCACTCATGTTGCTTATGTCACGACAATTACGTCATGATGTACCGAGGTGAAGATCGAAGGCTCAAATCGTTTCTTGTCATTACTCTCCAAAAAACGAGGGGACTATCTGTATACGGTCATTTTGTATGGTTAATCGAGACCGAGAAGGATAGAGATCTAGTGAGATCGAAGGAAGCCTGCAAAGTCGAATAACAGAAAGCCGAGGAATTCGTGACCGGGCGAAGATTGTGGCAGAGATCTCGGCATGTATCAAGTCAAGACCAGTTGATTAGCCAATTAGGAGATTTTCTTCTGTATTTAGAATTATACCATATGTAGAACTCCTCTACTATATAAAGGGGGTTCCAATCATTTTGTAAGGGGAACATTCTCGCATAACAAAGCAATATATTATGTTTTCTCTCTTAAGCTCTCTTATTCAATTGAAATTCGAGGGCGACCTAGTTCGAGGGTCAAAGTTGCGCGTTACATTGATTTGCTTCATTTTACAGTTAATTTTTAATTTCAATTCTCATATTTCTCAATTTGTGCCAAGTGAAATCACATATCCTTAAAATCACTTATAAATTTAATTGTTATTCGATTTTAAGAGTAAACAATTCCTCATTTTCATAATAATGTTATACTGCATATATTTGCATGAACAAAACCGGCAAAAAGTTAAAATATTCAGACAGTTCTTTTTACCATATGGTTAATTACTTCTTGTTAAACAAGACCGCAAAACTAATGTATGATTTGATATTTGATCAGATTTATGGGTCCACATCCAAACAAGAAAATTTTAGACTGTTTATGCCATATTTTAATTAAGTAATTTGTTAAGCAAGAGGCAAAACTAACGTGTGAAAATCTAGAGTCGATAAATTCAAAATGAATCTGATTTTAGTGTGTATACATATTTTAATAAAAGCATACAAAATAATTTATTCAAAATTTTCATTGCTCTAAATTTCATAGATTACTATTACCACATATTGCTTGATTGTTATTTTTCGCTTCGATTTTCTTAATATTTTATTGTTGCTATTGCTTATTGTCGCCATTGATTCTTTTCTATCTTTCTTTAACCGATAATCTATTGGAAACAATCTCTTTTCTTTCTCGGGGTACGAATAAGATTTACACACATATTACCTTCTCCAAACCACTGAATTTGTTAGTTGTTGTTGCTTCATTGCTCTAAATCCAGACTCTGAACATGATTTGATTTGATCAGATTGAGGGGTCAACAAAACAAGAAACTAAGTACAGGATTTGAATTTTGTTTCATGTGTGATGATTATTTATTATGATGATTATTATCACAAGATATATCAGAAAGGAAAAGGAAGACATTTGACCACAAAAGTTTAAGTTTGATTATTGTTACACTTGCCATTATCATGCCATGCATGTGGAGAGAAATAATTGTTTTATCTGCCCTAGGTCTTATCATCTTATCTCTGGTAAATAACACCTAGAGAAACATTTAACAGGGAATATCTTGGTGTTTGTAATATAATAATTAAACAAAACAATATACTAATCTTGTTTCATTTCTAAAGAAAAAACATATTTGGAAAGTGCATGGAAAAAGGAGCTCATGTGTTAGCATAAGGACTTTCACATTGGGCCAAAAAATACCCCAACATAAATAAAACTTTTTAACTTCTACTTGTAATATAAGCTTGCCATAGCTTGTAAAGAAAGTCGAGACTAGCTAAGTAGAAATTACAACATAATACTTTCTTTTCTTTTTTTTTTCCTTTGAAAGTTCTTTGACCATGATTACAGGTGGAGCTAGAGTATAATTCGGTCGAATTCAGTAATTTTAGTTCAAAATATATATTTATCTTAAAAAAATTATTGAATATATATCCCTATATCTTAATTTATATAATATATTTCGTTTTGCGAGATTCAAATTTCTTAATTCTGACAAGATATTTGAACATAAAATCTTTAAATTTTTTGAAATAGAATTTATACATTTGGAAATTACGTAAAAAAAATAGTATAAGTCACAATAATTAATAATCGAAATATTTAAAAGGCATATGAAAATATTACGGTCAAAGAACAATTCGTTTGACTCTTGAAAGTCGAATACCTTCAAATAAGTTGGGAGAGAGAGAGAGTATAATTTAATATTAATTTAATATCCAATAACTTAAAAGTACTAAAATTTGGAATACATAAAATTAAAATTCTGATTCTGTCTGTGATCATTGTTCTTTGATGCGTCTTAGTGAAAGAAAAATAATTTTGGTATCTTTTGGTTTGGTTTTTAAACAATAACCATTTTAAAGAATGCCTCTACTGCATAATATTATGAGGTTGAAGAGAAGTTTTAATGTGACTATCTTGTTATTCAAGTGTAATAAAAAGGTGTCATATCTTAAATATAAAAGTTTTCTGGAAATCACCAATGGAATCATCACAAGTTAGAGTCAAAATCAACAGATTCAATTACATTTACAGAATTGACCATATAAATCTGCCTTTGACCTAAACTTTGTAGTAACAACATAGCACAACTAATGAAAATTAGACAAACTCTGATTTTTGCTGAAATAGAACTTGCAATTGTCAGCTCCTTGTTTACTACATTTTTTCCTCCTTTTATCACATTCTCAGGGATGTTCAGTTTCTTGACTTGTAGCAGGAAAAATAATGAAGAAAAAGTTAAGTTTTTTGAGCCCCAAAATAGAATTGCATTTAAGCCTCATTAACTGCAGCTTTATCTCTTTCTTTCCTTTTGGTTCCCTTCCCACGGCTTACAGCTACAGATAGACACAATCTGCACAAACTTACACCCTATTTTTTTAATACTAGCATTTACTAATTGAAAATTTATTCTTTTCGAAACCGACTAAAAATAAAATAAAAAAATATAAACCATGAACAGAAGGAGAAACGTATTATAAAAGGTAAACATGTTGTACTTTGCAAATTACTTATAAATTTTTTAAAAAGTAGGGATTGCGCGAACATAGGCTCTAGTTGCTACAAATTATGACAAAGGGCCGATCTTAGGCGAGCACCCGCTCAAAGTGCAATGAAGGTCACCAGCCTAAGCCACGAGCCTTACTAATCTCCTATTGACCCCAATCCAGGAACATGATAATACTAGTAGTATATAAACTTCATTACACAATTAAGTTGTGAAGGTCGAGAACTAGCGTAGAAAGTTGGTAGACAGTCGATCGAATTTCTTTTTCATACATGTAGTACCAATATTATTTTTGTACTTTTTTATACTCGGATTTCTATTACTACCGGTTGTTTCTTTTGCTTAAGTTATCTTATGATCTTGAAGTTGTTATCGCTTCTTGTTACTACTTCTTTTTCATGACTTCTCTATTGCTATATTTCTTTTCAACAATGATGTGACTATATTTTTCCTTAGCCAACATCCTATCGAAGTCTTTCTATCTTCACAAAGTAGGTGTACGATTTCCGTATACACTACCCTTTCCAGATCTCACTTGTGAGATTACATTAAATTTGTTGTTGGTGGTGGTGTTAGTGTTAGTGTACAAAAAGGACAACTCGTTGCTCTAAGCTCCCGTTATGCGCGGGGTCCGGAAAAGGATCGGACCACAAGAATCTATCGTATGCAACTTTACCCTATATTTCTGTAAAAGGTTATTTTCACGGCTCGAACTTGTGACCTCCGTCACATTGCGGCAACTTTACATGTTAGTGTATATAAGTTGAAAATCTTTATAGTAATATTATACTTTGCTTTTTCTCTCAACTGTCTTGTCTGACTGTCTTTTTTCTCAAGTGCTCTAAACAGAGCTTAGCTAAAGGACTTTTCTTTTCTTTTTCATCACTTTGGCTTTGTGAAGTGGCCTCAAACAAGACTTACTTTTCAGGCTTTTTTCAACTATATCACTGATCTCTTCCTACAAAAGATATATATAAACTGTCCACAGAACTCTCTGCAAAAAAAAAATTCCTTTTCTACTGCCAAAAACCAAACTTAATATCAAAGCCAATAACAACAACAAACAAGAGAGAAAACTGTCCCAAATAATGGACTTTAATCTGAAGCAATGGAAAAACCAACAACAGCAAAATGAGTCAGAAGAAGAAATACCAATACCTTGTGCAAAATTACCAAGACTTGTTCTTGACCTTGACTCTTCTTTTTCACATTCTGCTTCTGATTCTGCTCTTCCATTATTTGTATCTGAACCTACCAAATTGTCAGCATATCCTCTTTCTTCAGATTCAAATTCCACTCCCACTAAATTTACAAGTGAGTAAAATACTAAGGATCCTTTTAATTTGTCCATAATTCTTTTTTTCTTTTTTCCAAAACTCATTTTCAAGAACATTTTTTATATCCAAACACCTATTAATACTCCTTTATTTCTGTTTTTTTTTTGTGCAATTTAAAAGTTATGAATTTTTTTTACTGTTAAGGTAACATATCTATAATTTTTTTTTTTTTTTTTTTTT